GGTTCATCGCGGTGCATTACTCTTGCTTGTGATTTATTTTCACCATGACATGGGGTTCTTATTAGATATTCTTTTGATTTTTTTGTTATTGGCGCCAGCTTTCTCGAAGTATTTCGGGTTTCTTGCTTAAATCTGCTTAGCCATGAACCGTTGTTTGTTTTGGTAGTATTTCTTTCTAATTTATCTTCATTTCTGTATTTTATTGATTTCTAGATATCATGAGAAGTTGGAACTTTACTACTTTCTGATACCATGAGAAGTAGGGATAGAGATGTATGACGGGAGTCTGTGTTATTGATCATGTTAGGAACACCTCTGGTTTATTTAAAGACCCGTTTAGGGCAATTCCGCATTGTGTGCTATTTGTGTTTGTTTAAAATTCTACCTTTGAAGTAGGTATCCCGCACATGTGTTTTTATTTTTGATCGCATCTATTCCCCCATCCCTTATTGAAGTCCATAAAAGGAGGCGAGTGGAAAGGGTTAGCGATCAACCCCCACGTATTTCGTTCGTGTCATCCTTAGCTCGTGACACACCACAATACTTTAGAGTTGTACCTACTCTTGTTATCGAGTAATCAAGTGGAAAAGGGTTTTGAAATCAAACCCCCACACTTAGTCAGGAGTTCGTAATGACCAATGCTGACACCCCACTATCCACTTGTTTGCTTCGGGTGATCTGCTCCCCTTAGCTAAAGCATTTCTCTTCTTTTCGTATTTCATCTCTCTCCCGCTTGTTTGCTTCGCGTGATTCCCTCCCCTTAGATAAAGCATTTCTATTATTTTACCTTTACCAACCCCGCTTGTTTTCTTCGGGTGATCCGCTCCCCTTATCTAAAGCATTTCTCTTGATTTTTATTTTACCTACCTTGATTCGTGATATCTTGGTTATGCCTTTCCCCGAGTTAGTATGCACTACTCGTGGCATGTATGTGCTCTCTTGAGCTTGTGTATTACTTGCTTTCCATCCTTGTGTACATGTTTTCTTAGGTTTTAAACCTTTGGCATTTTCCCTTAGGATCTCTTGATTCATCCTTTGGCGGTGACTTGAGATAGACATAGATTTAGGTTGTGAACCTTTGCTATGCTCTCTTAGGATTTCTTGATTCATCCTTTGGTGATGATTCGAGATAGAAATTAGGATTGTGATCCATGCATTCTAACATAGGATAGAGATTTCCCTTTCAAAACTTAACCTTAGGATCAATCAATGTATGATAACATTAGGGATAGATTTAGGATAGTCTCCCTTAGATGATTTTTTTGCTTTTGTATCCTTGCATTAAGACTAAAACTCTTTTCTTGAAAAATGCATAAAACATATAACAATTTTCAAATCCTTTTTCAAGGTAAAAAATATCAACCAATGTAAACTCTTTTTCGCCTTCGGGCCCTTTTCTTTCAAACTTTTCAAAAGAACATGTTAATTCACTTCTATGCTGATGCGTGAGTCTCCAAAGGTCGAGTTGCAGCTGAAGGCGAAATTAATATTGTTCATTAAAAAACACAAAACAAATCAAAACACGTGACCTAAACTACGGTAACTCTAATTCCTCAAAAAGGATGCATATGCATTGGGGTAGGGCTCAAGAGAGCACAATTTTATTTTCCCTACATTATTTTCTCTTTTCTTTTGCATGTGTTACCTCTTTGCATTTTTCTTTTAGCTCTTAAGCATTATATTTGAACACACCCTTTAATTAGAACAACAAGATTGGATATTATAGAGTACTACAGGCATGTGGGGGTGCTAATACCTTCCCCTCGCGTAACAGACTTCCTTACCCGTATATTTTGGTCGTTTGATCTTGATTTTACCCTTCTCAGGTTTACTCGATGTTTACCTTTCCCTTCCTGTGGGATAAAAAACGTACGGTGGCGACTTTATTGATTTCATCTCGATGATTTATTCAGCCGGTTGTTTTAGTTTCCAATTATCCTTTTTTCCTAGGTAAGTTAACAAGCCCACAAGAATGATTATTCAACCATCACCGTTTCCACATTCCTTCTAACGCATTCCTAAAGGTTCTTGTTTTATTATTTTGCAACCCTTCAGCCACATTTAAAGCATAACACCCAAGGCTAGCATAGACATCCCAGTGAGATGTTACAATCCCTCTTTTTATCTTATCATGAGTCAAATGATAATCAGAGATCCCTGTAACCGTTACCACACTACTACTAGTATGCATAGTAAGAAACTTCACCTCAAACTGAGTTTTCTCGGTTATAGTTTATAACAGGTTTATCCTTTGGTTTTTACTGTTCTTCCTATAAAGAAATTCTCTACCAACCAAAAAAGATGCTTTGACATCAACCCTTCCCCAAAAATTCAATAACAACTCAACCGTCACATGCCTTTTTATCCCTTGTTTTCTGTAAAATTTATCACACACTTCTAAAATAGCCTCAATGCATTCATAACACCTTGACCTCAAATTCCATAGCTCTTTCTTGTCATGAAATCCTCCACTTGTTAATGATGAATGAATAAAAAAATTTAAACATTCTAAAATATATAAACCACATATTTTAGACCCTTTAGCAATAATTCCTTCATCATGTGAAATCTTCAACACTCCACGTTCAACTCTAGTGACATAGCCTAGATCATAAAACATGCTTTTATATAACAAATTTTGTTCGAGTTCTGGAATATACCTCACGTTTGAATAAGAAACTCACGATCATAAAACATTTTAAGTATGATCATACCAATACCATGAACCTTGTAAGCCTTATTATCACCAAGGTAAACTACTCCTCCATGCACAAACTTCAAAGTCTCAAATTATATTCTTAGGAACATGTGATAACAGCAACCTGAGTCTATGACCCAACTATCTTGAGTCTCAAAACTTTATACCACTTGTACACCAACATCCTATAACCAACCTCATCCAAGGCAACCACAACTTGAACAAAATCATCATTGAGCTTTCCCTGAGGACAATCCTTCTTGAAGTGATCGGTTTTCTGACAATTAAAATATTTTACCTTTAACTTGTCAAACTTCTTTAATTTTTACATCCCTTTACGCTCAGTTCCTCCTCTTGAGACACTCAAACCTTCACCATTATCTTTAAACTTCAAATCTTTTGCCTTTGAAAATTCTCTGGATTTCACCGTCGTCTAGAATTTATTCAAAGTAATAGTACCTTCCTTACCATAAAGAATGAAATCCTTAAATTGCTCAAAGGATCTGGGTAATGAACTCACAAGAGTATAGTCTTGTCTTCATCATCAATCTTCACTTCAGTATTCTCAAGATCATCAAGAATCTTGTGAAACCATGTCACTCTTGTTAGATTTGTTCTCCATCATTCAAAAAGAGTAGAGTTGTTATTTCAAACACAACATATGAGTCAAAGACTTGGTCATATAAAATGATTCAAGTTTTTCCCACATCGAAGCAGCAACCTGCTCTCTGACGACTTCTCTTAATAGTTCATCCCCGAGACACAAGATAATGTCACTCTTGACTTTATCCATCATCTCGGTCTTCTCTACTTTACTAAGTCGTGAAGGCATCGATTCCTCACCCTTCAAAGTTTCAATACACTTCTCTTTAGTTAAAAATTTCTTGCATTTTCATTTTCTACAATTCAAAATCGTTGTCTGTGGAAAATTTTGTGATCTCTCATTTAGCCATGGTGCTCACTTATAAACAATACCTCTTTGCCTCACAGTGGACGCCATCTGTTGTAGCAACCATAATAAATGGTCTTCAGCAATAATAATCAATAAGCAGAAAATATAATAGAATAAGTTGAGAATAAACTAAAGGTTTGTTTAGCCAATTCAATCAAAAGGTCTAGTTTGAGGGAGATAGCAGCTCTCCAATTTATTATACTCTTAAAGTTATTGCAAAAGATTACAAATGAGTTACTAGAAAATAACATTCGTCTTCAGAGTTTCCCAGAGTAAACCCTGAAGACTCTCAAGATCAAACCCCTATTTTCTATCCAAGTATTTATCAACCTCTCCAACTCTAAATATATGAATCTCTCAAACTCAAGATATCAAGAAATATTATATGATCCTTCTATATAACTCTACAAGGTTTCCATTAAACCTTAAATTCTTGTTTCTCCCTTTTTTCTCTATAGCTCTAAAATTGTCACACAATAATAACATGAAGAGACACATATTTATAACTATTAAAACCCAACATACAAAGTCAAAAACATAATTTATTAATTATTAAAATAAAATATTATAAATATCTATTTTATACTTCCTCCGTTCCATATTATAAGAGAGATTCATTTTTTAGATTTATTGAGTAATTAATATATTTAGTCTATATATAGACCAGCTACAGTAATTATCCAATGAATCTAAAAAGTGGAGTATTAATTTTCTCTTATAATATGACAAAAATGGAGTATTAGTTTAGACTATTTCTAAATTAATATATATTCAATATTCTAACTTTAAATAATAGATCTGCAAATCGAATCAGTCAAATCCGCAATTTACGAACTGCCCAAGTCGAACATTCTTGTTGTTTTTCAGCTTCCTGATTTTCGACAATCTCAAAACTTATTTTATTTTTCTTCATCAATACAGGTTTTAAAACATACTTCAACAAAAACTATTCTTCAAAGAATTATCTTGAACCTTGAAACCATATGGTGGTCACGCCTTAGTTTCATACTTGATTAAGGTTAGCTAAGCCCTCAATGACCATTTGATACAACATACATCTAGATTTGCAGATATTTTACCTTTGAAGAAGATGTCCCTGAAGAATGTTCTAATACCTCTGAACTTCAAGATGGTTACACCATACAACTGACCAGAATCGTGTTATAAAAAAAATACTGTTTTCTAGGGTTGTGCTAGTGTTTTCTACAAAGTGTTATAAAAGAAAACTGTTTTACTTGCGTTTAAAATTGCTAGCACTTTTACTTCTTTCTTTGATCTTTAAGATTACATTGCAACTCCTAATTTATCGAAAAACTTGGATCAGTGATCTTCAGATGTTAGTGTTTTACATTACAACATGGAATCACTAGCCATAGGAGTTTGCAAAACCTCAGATATGACTTCCCAAGAGTGGTTCTCATCATCCATTACGCGCCTTCGATCGAGGAAAGCCGGCCTCATTGGTGTTGTAACCATATCGATTTTAAATGTCAACAATGCTACAATCTGTGACATTGCAGGTCTCAAATCTGGATGTGGCTGAAGACACAAAAATGCCACATGAAATGCTTGCATAACATCCTTTTCTACATATCCTTTTTCTCTCAGCTTTGGATCTATAAGATCCATCACCATTGACTTCTCATAAAGTTTCCATGCCTATGATGAAGAGTTCACACAAACATTATTTCAAAGCCTTAACAATAAACATTGGTTCAAGCAATCGTTAAAGAAACGAGTATGAAAAGTTACATATTCAGGGAGGTACTGCATCTCTGATGGTAAAGTGAGATCTGTGTTTTTTCTACAGCTGATTATTTCAAGCACGAGAACTCCAAAACTATATATGTCTGCCTTTTCAGATAACTCTCCTCTGATTGCATATTCTGGAGCCGTATAGCCTCTAACCAAAGAGAAACAAAGATCATCATTAGAAAACTTGAAGAATTAACACAGATACTGACACAGGTACGGACACCAGTGGTAATAATTTGAGATAATTAATTAATTTAACGCATTATAACTCATAAGTATATATGTTGTATCATTTATATTGGTGTCAGACACTAACACTAACACGTGATGTATCATTTGAGTGAAGGACTTACAATGTTCCGGCAAATTGAGTGCTAAGGTAAGCTTGGTCTTCAGGGAAGAATCTAGCTAGTCCAAAATCACCAATCCTTGGCTGAAACTTTTCGTCAAGAAGAATGTTGCTTGCTTTGATATCGCGGTGAACAATTCTTACATGCGAATCCTCATGAAGGTATTGCAATCCCCGCGCTACTCCAAGAATAATTTGGAATCTAGTGCTCCAGGTAAGAAACTCATCGGTATTCCCATGAACAAAGAGGTCTAAACTTCTGTTCTTCATGTATTCATAAACAAGTATCCTTTGAGGTCCATCCGAGCAACAGCCAAGAAGGCGAACGAGGTTTTTGTGCTGGATGCTTGTGATCATTCTCACTTCTGCTAGAAACTCTCTTTCGCCTTGGTGAGATTTATCAAGAGACAGTTTCTTACAAGCAACTAGTCTTCCATCTACCAACTTTCCCTGTCAAAACATAAATATGCAGTCCTCAAAATCTCTAGACTCGCAATTTGAACCACGATTTTGATTAACACGAAAAATCATGTAGCGAAGCCAGTATCATTAGGTTTAGTACCTATATTATACCTGATATACCGGGCCAAATCCGCCACTTCCTAGAAGGTTTCTGCGATGAAAATTCTTGGTGGCCTTTCTCAATGTTTGGAAATCGAAGTAGCTTATTGTCCTAAGGTTTCCACTGATGAACTCCATGAGTCCTGTGTGTATCCATATTGAAACTTCAACATAAGTTGATCTTTACAATGCATATATATATAGAGTATTTTTCGTATATTACCATGATTCTGAGTCTCAACAGGTGGTGAAGCTGTCTTCTCTGGTAGTTCGTGCGGGACACGTTTAATACGCTTCCAAAATACACAGAGAAGAATGAGCAATATGATGAGAACTACGATCCCTCCAAGTAAAAAGAACAAAGCTCCCGAGACATGACGCGGGTGCGAGGAGGGAGAGGAGGAAGAGGATGAAGATGAAGGAGGTGTTTCTGCATATCACAAGATTTCATTCATCATTGATCAAAGTAGAGTTAACATGAAAACTAAGGTAGAAAAAAGAAACCTTGGAGTTGAAGTAATCTTCGAGACATTGTTAGGGACTAGAAGAAAGTGTTGTGGTTGAAGTTGAGCCGTCTTGGTCGGTATTGAGATAACATAGCCAAAATATGAAGAGGTGAAATTCAACAACTGGCAACAGCAACTATTTCTTGATGAGTTTTCTGTAATTGATTTCTACTACTATTAGCTAGCAATTCTTTGTTGTCGTTAATTGCTATCTTGAAAAACAAAAAATGAAACAATTGGAGAATGATTCTATGTTATTTTATTGTATTGTATTGTATTGTATGGTTGTTTCATAGAATAGATCGAAACAATGTAATATTGCCGGACAATTCTATTGGGTGGGAGTTACATGTAGAATATTGAAGGGTTGCGGTCGAATACAGACATTCTACTATCTTTAATTTTAATATATTTTCTCTTTGATTGTTGTGTTATGATAAAAAAAAAAAGTTTTAAATATGCACATTGTTCAAGTAAATATATAGGTTTTGATTCTACAGCCTATCCATAGTTGTCCCATATGGCCCATTTATTTGAAGACCCAAAATAAGAGTTTTTCAATTTATTTTGGAGTTTGTTCGCTACATTCAATGACTTATTCACACTTCCTCCTAAAATTTTCAAAATACCTTTAAAATTTGAATTTTTGAAAGGAAAAAATTTAGCTACATTTTCTTAGGTGTAGTTTATATTTTTTTTCCGATGAAAATATGACAAGTGTATAATTTTCTCTTATACATATGTAATTTCTTCCTATTTTTACTCCTTAAAAAATATTTAGGCATATTTATTATATTTTTATTAGAGAAAAGTATGAACCACACCTATGGAATTGTATCTAAATATTTTTGTTTTTGGAATCCATACGCATAAAAAACACGTTAAATACAAATAAATTTTTTATGAATTTTGGAATTCAAAGGCACTCCAATATATCACAACAACTTACTCTCAGAACCACAACCAAATCAAAATAAGAGAAATGTCTGAATTTGAAACTCTGGATTTACCTAAACACTCTAAGTTTCCTGAGTAGGATACGAGTATAACGTGTATTTTGTACCATAGTACTCTAATTTTGAGAAATATTTTCCGAGTAGTTTATTTTGACAGTCTGGCATATTCTTGATTCACATGTATGTATGATTAAGAAAAGAAAAAAATTTAACACCAAAAGATGAAAAATGACGGTAAAAGACAACTGAACCTTCTAAGTTAGGTAACTCTCACTCAGTTATCCAGACCAACAGTGGTTGGACCCCAAACATCAACCCAAAATGGACCTTAAATAAACACAAAAAGTGTGTAAATTTCATCTGCAATTAAGGATGACAAATAATTACTTATTTGGTGTAAAATAAAAAATTTTCACGATCGATCTTATGCGTGTGATCATTATCGTAATTTCAAATGCCATAATCTGATTGTCCAAACAAATGGGAAGGAAAATCGAAAAATTTACTTAACTCCAAAACATAGTTAGAGATGTAGCCGAAATATGAAATTTTTGTTTGTATCTATTTTACAGTCTTGTGTTCTTGTGCAAATTAAGAACACAAGTATATGTTTTTCTCATATTGTTTTACATTCTTGTGTTCATCTGGATCCTTTTACCGAAGCTATCACTCAGATACCATCTTATGCAAAATTCCTAAAAGACATCCTGACCAACAAGCGTAGATTTGACGATCCTAAACCTTTAGAGTGAAATTTCATTTCTGAAAATAAACTTGCCAAGAAAGAAAAGGACCCGGGAAATTTTTCCATACCTTGTATCCTAGGAAATTACATGGTTGACAAAGCCTTTTTAGACCTAGGAGCTAGCGTCTGTCTAATGCCTTTGGCAGTTTGTAAGAGGCTAAACTTAGGAGAATTGTAGCCAACTAAAATGTCTCTTCAATTGGCCGATAGATCAGTTAAATATCCTATGGGCATACTAGAAGACATACCAGTTAAAATAGGTCAGCTATATATCCCAACAGATTTCGTAGTCATGGATATTAAAGAAGACGACGAAATCTCAATCCTTCTAGGTAGACCATTCATATCAACCGCATGAGCCATGATAGATGTTAAGAAAGGAAAATTGACTTTTGAGGTAGGTGATGAAAAGATAGAATTTATTCTTTTGAAGTTCTTAATGGCACCAGTCATAGGAGATGCATGTTATGCCATTGACGTCATTGATGAATGCATATTGGAACTGGATCAAGAAGAACTTGTCAAAACTATCAAGTTACCTTCAACCCCTATTTGGGAGGATGATGGATTTGAAAGACTGGAACCTTACTTTGATGACAACCTCTATGAATGTTTAGCCCTTACTCCAAATCTTATGCCTTGCCCTAAGAAACCATCTTTAGAACTTAAAAAACTACCCAAGAATCTGAGATATGAGTTCTTAGATGAAAAAATGAATTTTTCTGTTATAGTCAGTGCTACCTTAAATCAAGACGAGACAAAACAAATCTTAGATATCTTGCAAAAATATCTCTCAGCCTTAGGATATAACATCTCTGATTTAAAAGGAATAAGCCCATCTATGTGCATGCACCAGATTATGTTGAAGGAAGATTATGAACCCTCTAGAGAACATTAAAGGAGGATAAACCCTATAATGAGTGATGTTGTTAAGAGAGATGTTCTTAAGTTGCAAGAGGCTGGTATAATTTATCAAATTTCAGATAGTAAATGGGTAAGTCCTGTACATGTGGTACCTAAGAAAGGAGGCATCACATTCACATCAAATGAGAAAGGTGAACATGTTGCCAAGTGAACAGAAGGAGGTTGGCGTATGTGTATAGATTACAGAAATTTAAACAAAGCGACTAGGAAAGATCATTTCCCTCTTCCCTTTATAGATAAAATGCTTGAGCGTCTAGCTAGACACTCGTATTTTTATTATCTAGATGGGTACTCGGGATTTTTTTCAAATTCCTATTCACCCTGAGGATCAAGAAAAAACGACCTTTACCTGTCCTTATGGAACATTTGCCTATAGACGAATTCCCTTTGGACTCTGTAATGCGCCAACCACTTTCCAGCATTGTATGATGTCAATTTTCGCAGACTATCTTGATGGAATTATGGAAGTATTCATGGATGATTTCTCGGTATGTGGATTCAATTTTAAAGACTGTCTCTCTAACCTTGAGAAAATCCTAGAAATATGCGTTGAGGTAAACCTTGTATTAAATTGGGAGAAGTGTCATTTTATGGTTAATGAAGGTATATTATTAGGACACATTGTCTCGGAAAAAGGAATTCAAGTCAATAGAGCCAAAATAGTAATAAAGAACCTCAAGCCACCTAAAACTATTAGGGAAGTCAGAAGTTTTCTTGGACATGCTGGTTTCTACTGACGTTTTATCAAAGACTTCTCCAAAATAACAAAGCATTTAACTAATCTTCTGATGAAGGACGTCGAATTTGTTTTTGATGAGAAATGTATTGAAGCCTTCAACCTTTTGAAACAAGCACTGATTTCAGCTCCAATCATGCAACCTCCAGATTGGACACAACCTTTCGAAATCATGTGTGATGCTAGTGATTATGTCGTTGGTGTTGTTCTAGGGAAGAGAGAAGATAAGAAATTACATGTCATATATTATGCTAGTAGAACCCTAGATGCTGCCCAACTTAATTATGCAACAACAGAGAAAAAATTGCTAGCCGTGATTTTTGCAATTGATAAGTTTAGGTCCTATTTGGTTGGAACTAAGATCATTGTTTAGACAAATCATGCTGCTATTCATTATCTGCTAAACAAAAAGGATGTTAAACCTAAGTTACTTAGATGGATCCTTTTACTCCAAGAGTTTGATATGGACATTAGAGATAAAAAAGGCACAGAGAATGTAGTCGCTGACCATCTCTCTAGGTTAGAATATTTGAAACCTGACTTATTGCCTATAAATGATGATTTCACCTATGACAAACTTGTAGCTAAGATATAAAACTTTGAGCCTTACATAGATGAAAACCTGGATAAAGTTTCAATAATGAGAAGTGTACCTTAGTACGCTGATTTTGTAAATTATCTAGCTGTTGATATCATACGCCCTGATTTGAACTACCAATAGAAAAATAAGTTCTTCAACAATGTTAAACATTTTTATTGGGATAAACCACTCCTATTTAAGAGAGGCATAAACAATATCTTTAGACGTTGTGTCCCAGAAGAGGAAGTGGAAAACATCATCGAATATTGTCACTCTGCACCATATGGTGGACATGTAAACACGTCCAAAACATATACTAAAATCCTTCAAGCAGGCCTCTATTGGCCAACTTTTTGGCGTAATGTTCATGACTACATTGTCAAATGTGGCTGGTGCCAACGCACTAGGAATATCTCAAGACGTGATGAAATTCCCTTAAGGTATATCCAAGAAGTGGAACTTTTGATTATGTGGTATATATTTTATGGGACCATTTCCATCCTCCATGGGAAATAAATACATACTCGTAGTTGTGTACTACGTGTACAAATGGATTGAGGCTATTGCATCACCCACAAACGACACCAGAGTAGTAATCAAGTTATTTAAGAACAACATCTTCCCAAGGTTTGGAATACCCCGCCTAGTCATAAGTGATGGAGGATCACACTTTATATCCAAAATCTTTGACAAGCTTTTGAGTAAATATGAAGTAAAACATAAAGTAGCAACACCATATCACCCGCAAACCAGTGGTCAAGTTGAGGTGTCCAACAGGGAAATCAAACAGATCTTGGAGAAAACTGTCTCAATATCCAGAAAAGATTGGGCTGAAAAGCTGAAAGACGCATTATGGGCTTACAGAATAGCCTATAAAACCCCCATTGGAACTACCCCTTACCAGTTGGTTTACAGAAAGTCATGTCACTTACCTTTTGAATTAGAGCACAAGGCATATTGGGCTATAAAAACTTTGAACTTAGACTACTTAGCAGCCAGAGAAAAATGTATCATTGATATCCATAAACTAGAGGAACTCCGTCTGAATGCCTATGAAAATGGCATAATATACAAAGAAAGAAAAA